TGTGATTCAACTTCCAGAGCAGTTCTTGCCCTCGTATCCGGATCGGATATTGTAATTTTATTTAAACTATTTAAATAGATATTTATATAATTACAACATTTTCCCAGTATAATCTAATATATTTCTGATTAAAAAATTAGCATTTTTAAATTTGTATAAAATAAATATAAAAAGAGATTGATTAAAAATAGACTTTTTTTTATTTAAAACTTGAATCACATAAAAGTAACGTCATTGTAACTAGTTACTTTTGAAAAAAAAAGTGTAATSTTACACATCACTTTTGTACTTAGTAATTAACAAATAATCTAGTTACCTATTTTATTTTGTAACGTAACTTAGTTGCTTTTAAAAAATAACTTACCCAACACTGAGTATATGTATATTTATGGAATTAATCAATAAATAGAATCAAAATTATCCTTACCAATTTAATTAYATTTAAAAAAAACTTCATCAAAACATTTTTAACATAAATGACTTAGGTTTATAATTTTTTTTAGGTCCCCTACATTACACAAAGTTCCTTTAAAATATCTTGAAGATGTATTAACAGAGATTAAAACTGGATTGGGTGATTCGTTTTGTGTTACAAGAAGGAGTGCTGGAATGCCGTTTATCATTCAAGTATATTATTAATARATGTAATATTGTAAAACATTATATAATATTATTCTATATTTATCCTTTTTAGGCTCTAATCTGTACAAACCACGATAAACGAATAAATGTTAACTATACAATGGAAACATTGATTAGTATATGTGAGAATAAGAATATAAATGAAGATTCAAAAGTCGGGGTAGTTCATGCTCTGAATGTTTTAAGAGCATTATTTCGATGTTCACAGCTAGGAGATCTGGTTGGTCCTTTCATATCCAGAGCAATTGACATATCTATAGTATTATTTAACTCATCATCATGGCCAGTAAGTATTTATGATATTCAATATGATCAAAATTACATTATTTTTGATATCTCATAATTTCATTGCATACCTAACGTCTAACGACCTCTTTATTGGATAGCTTAGTCCAACCAATATGTTACCTCTTTGGAACTTTATTTATTTATCCTAATATTAATTTTTAAATAATTTTACATTTTTATAGATTCGTAATTCTTCTACATTATTACTTAGTTCATTGGTGAATCGTGTATTTGGTGTTCCACGATCAGCTACTGAAATATCTTGGAAAAATCGTATGACTGGTCGAGAGTTCTTCCAAAGGTATCCAGAGTTGTATGATACATTTTTAAATGAATTTAAAAAGTTTTCACCTATGGACATGAGACCTTCATTGTATCCAACATTATTAATACTTGCTAGACTTTACCCAACGCTTAACGAAGCAACTGATTGTATTTTCCAAGTAAATTATATTATATTTAAATCTATAAACATTATATTTAAAAACTATTTTAGTAATATGTTATACAGTTGATTAATTACACCATTTATGTTAATTATTTTTAAGTTGGCCATTTACATTCCATATATATTTAAATGTGCTCAAAGTCCAGTTATGAAAACTAGAATGTTAGCTGCAACATCAATTGTACCCCAAGTTACACAAAATAAATTAGTTGAACATCTCTACATAACATACAACAAATTAATTACCAAGCGTTTAAAAGAAAATACAATACATGGACTTTTATTACAGGTAATTTTAATTATTTCCTTTATACTTATTGATTAAATTTGATAAAATATGCTTAATTTTTTTTGACAAATACAAATTTGATTTTAGATGTATAGCTTGGTTAAAAATCTACCAAGACTTGATGATTTTAATGAATTAGTTTCATTAACTGAAGATCTTATAAAAAACTATGATCAATTTATTAAATGTTCTTATATCGTTCAAGAAGTATTTTTAAGGTGTATTACATGTCTATGGCTTCAACTTGATGATGTGCAGTATAATAATTCTGTTAAACAATTTTGTACACTTACGTTAGAATCAATTACAAAATTAGTTCAGTCTAACGCCATTGGACGATCAAAATATTTGGAAAGTGCTACATTATTGTTATTTGCAATCAGCTTAAAAGCTCAAACTGACTTTTCAATAGTTATATACAGTATTATGATCAATAATGTGCATTGTGAAACAGTATTTAAAATTTTAGGCGTTATTTTATCTGAAAACCCTGTTGAGTTTTGTGATGATTTTGATCATTTTAAAAATCTGCATTGGGACTGCAAAGTTTTGACAAACCAACTAATGGATAACAAAAGTCTTATGGAGTTAGTCTGTCAACAGTGCACTATAGTAGACACATCAATTGATATGAAATATTTGGTTTTATCAAAATTTATTCCAGTTCTACACATGTATTTCAAAACATATGAATCAATTGACTATTTTGTTTCAAAATTGTTCAATATGAGAAGAGACTCTGAAATTGCTCAAGCTTTATCATGCATAAATGGATATTTATATTCACAAGTAAGCAATAAAATATCAATATTTTACCATTTAAATGATAATATAACAAAAATTATTTTTAGACATCTTTAGATCATTCTGTGGTAGGAAAATTAACACTTTTATTCGACAGTATATACTATAACCAACGATCTGATGAGTGCAAAAATGCTTGTATTGATATAATTGTTGATCACTATAATTTACTTATTAGAAACAACTCAATAGACATGATTGTTTGTAAGTGAATTTATTTAAGTATTCAATAGGTATTCATAATACAATTAAATACATTTTTTTTTATAATTGGCTTTGCTTATAGTTCTCAAATTATGGAATATAATAATACATTATTCCGAAGACAACAGTGAAGAAGTAAGAAATCATGTATGGTGTTTGGTGAATAAAGACACAAACTGTGCCAAATCATTTGAGTTATTATTTGACAAGTTTGCAGGACATTTTGAACAATTCCCAGTTGCTGTTCTTATAGCTTTAATATATTGGTCTTATATCGATGTAGAATTGCCTCAAGATCGTCCAGAAGTACATTCATTATTGTTTCTCATAAGTTATTTAATATCATTATAGAATATAAATTTACTTTTTCTTTCACAGGGACAAGTGTTTGACGGYGGAGACACTAGTGAATTCAAGGAACATAAAATTCGTAAAGGTCTTGCACTTAACATAATAAATAATATAATAAATATCGCTCCAGAGTCAATTAATTTGAAAATAAATAAATATCTACAAGAATGGTTAATTGAAGGATGGACAACTGATTCTGATCATAAACCAACGGTCCTAAATTTAAAGACTGTTGGAAATTTCATGACTTACGCTAAAAATGTTTATTCGATAACAAAAAAACTTAAGTATCTTAAGCTAAGCTAATTAATTAAAACTGTCCAATAAATACTAATTACTTTGTTTTATAAATAAATTATTGGTTACTACAAAAAAATAAATGCATTTACATTGTACAAATGTATAAGTCACAAGGTTCTGGCATGATGATGTCAAAAAATTCGCCAATCTGTATAGAAATAAAATTCAACAAGCTGGCAGGATCTTTTCACTATGTCTACATAGATAATATAGTGCAACGATTTTGGTATATTTTATTTTAACACTGGTTTGTATTGATGAATTTCTAGCGCGACTTTTTGTTGAAACAGTTTGTTGGTTGTTGTTCGTTCTAAATATTTATTGTTTATCACTGTTAAATGATGTCACTATGATTATGGACAGCATGAATAGAAAACTTGTACAAGTTTATTAGTGRAGATTCAACTTTGGGAATGACAAATCACGAAGCAACAAAGTTAATATATCAAATATCATGTGGACTATTTTGTTGGTAGCGAAAAATTCAATAAGAATTAATAAATATTCATAAGTGGCTTATAAAAAGTCGTATTTGCCATGGGTTACCTAAATCGAATAATCCGTAATCTGTTTGATAACAAAGTGTCAATGTCGGTTGGTTTGCTCTGAAGTCCAAAAACTGAATCTGAAAATTAATTGAAATAATAGTGTAAAAAAATCATATTGGTACTTACTGCAGCGTCATTCTACGACAAAAATTAGCGACTATCGCTAGTATTTCAGTGCACACGTGTCAAAGTTCAATTCAATGGCGGTTGATGGCACAGCTATATTATCGTAATACTTTATTGTATCGAAAATAAGCGATAYTTGGCAAACATATATAACTATATAAGGGGACAGGGGTGGAGCATGCAGAAATGGAATATTTTAAAATTTAATTCGTTAAGTGCCTAAATAATCTCCATGGTTAAGTATAGGTATATTATACAGGTACACTTATTACTTATGAACCATTAATTATTGTTAATTTAGTTCATATGTCGCTTCACTGCGCCCTGTCTGATGGCCGTGACTAAGACTTAATAGTTAGGTACATGGACTAGAGTGGTAAAGAACACCAAAATTCAATATAAGCAGAGGGTATCTTACAAAATCACGATTAAAAGTTAACTAGGTACCAAGATAGTCAAGTCGTCATTAAAATAAAATGTACCTATACGATAAGTTCCATTCAGGGTCATTTGTTTTGACCTGATATGTGTTTATATGGGCGGCACACGATTCCGCACAATATACCTTTTCACCTATTCCACACATTTTCGTAATACAAAAGATTTTTTTGTTATTTAACCCAAATGTAATTATGTAACACAATCCCGCATAAAAATTGTTGCGACGTTGCAGCTATGAGAAACAGTAATTATAACAATAATATTAAATAAAACAAATAATTAAAAATAAATTTTATTGAAAAATGTATTCAAATTCTGTCGTGAATAATATTTTAGTTTGATTTGTATGCAGAAATATTTAAAATATTAAATATATTATATAATACTTACTCAATTTTTGATGTAGAAATCGCAAAATACGTACAAACATGCAAGGCCTGATTTAATAAAATTAGGGCGAAGTGCACAACTTTTTTCGAGGGCCCCAAATCAAAAAAATGTTCTAGAAAAATCTACATAAAAGGGGGATAAAATTAATTGTTATTTAAGAGGAGCTTAAACTAAAGATTTAGTTCTGTACCAGGACCAAAAATATGATGTGGAGGTCTGTAAGTATTTGCTTATTTGGTGTTCAGATAAACTAGTATTTGAGGAAAACCAAAATAATATTATAATATAACTTATACTCGAATATTTAATATTAATATCAACCATTATTATGTTTAGAATCATTTTTTTAATACAATCGGCACCGTCGCAAATCGCAAATCGCAAATTAGTTTTGTGCAGAATCGTGAATCGCTGGTTTATAGTTTATATCCTCATATAAGAAAAAGATTCATTACATGTAGCCGCACGTATAATATTAAAGACTGGAAATTAATACAYTTATAAAATACTAAATATACATACACTTAAACTTACGCTCAAAAAAGTACAAATATGCTTTAAAAATAAGAGCTTAGTATTTATATATATATATTTTACTCACAATTTTCACAAATATAAATATTTTATAATTTTTATTAAATACCTATATATATTTTTTTTTATTAAGAATAAGCCCTCGGCGACATCGGCCATTGGGAACAATGAAATTACATTATTTACATCTATAATTTACAGTATTTACATTTGAATAAGTGTACATTTTTTTTTTTTTTAAATTTTTTTTTGAAGTTCTGCCAATGAAATGAAGTTGAAGGTGACTGCGAGTAAAGAGTTGTTGTGGCCAAGTGATTCTGCCAGGTGTTCAGGAAGATTTGATTAAATACCTATATTATTATTGATAAAAAGGGGAAATTTTATGTCAACTATAGGGATTTTAAAAACACAATATCTTGTGAAAAACAATTTAAATAAATAACCATACAATATTTATTATTATTTTTTATACTCAAATTTCCAAATAATTGCATTATAAATGTATCATTATTTAATCAAAAATCATATGCTCTAAAAATTATAAAATTAATAAATATACTCTTTAAATCATTATAAATATGCAAACATATTATGCACGATAAGTTTTCCAAAACTGTTTTTTTCAATGTCTTGAAAATAATTTCATGCTTAGATACTTAGCAATAAATCTTATAGTCCAAAAAAAAAGTATGCAAATGTAATGACTTCCGAACCCTACAATCATATTATAACGTCTAAAATAAAAACCAAATTATAACTTCTATAAAGTATTAAAGTAATATAATATAAGTACCTATTATATTATTTAAACTTAGAAAATATAAAAGTATGCCACGCATTATGTGACAAATTATTTTAATATTACTTATGAAGTTATGACTGTTATGAGTTGTATTTAATTACCTATACCTTATACATATTAAACATAAATCAACTAAATAGGCATCATATGCACAATTTCAGTTTTTAACTGGAAAGAGCTTTACATATTTAAATAAAATAGTTAAGGGGCCTTGTTCAAATAACTTTGAAATAAACTTTATATACTTTATGTATATTATAATACATATACCTAAGTAATATAATATAACATCATAAATTAAAATGTATTATTTTTTTTTCACCCACTTTTCTACATTTAATATACTACCTATAACACTTATAATAACTTATAACCTTATAACGAAAATGAAAAATATTTTTAYTAGATCAAATYACAATATTAAGGTGCTTATTGGTTAGGTTAGGTATACTATAACTATTTTAACTGTCGACTATTAAAGAATAACTACATTTTTAGAGAAAAAAACACTCCTATTTAGTATTTAGTAACGACGGCATATTCTAAATAAATTGATATGATAAAAGTATCTATAATATATTGCAATGCCTAATAAGTAATTACCTATTCATTTGTAATACTATTATTGAATTAAGTACAATAATTTGTATTATGGTCTGTGGTTAGATTCGATGTATAGTAGGTATTTTGGAAAACACACGAATTATGCCTGGTCGTTTAAATGTAGAAA